TGGAATATTGTTTCAACAAATTAAAAGGTAATAAACTATAAGCTTCCATATTGTAGCCTTTTGAGCTACTTGTTGAGTACGCTCTCATTTCTTTGTGTTGTTCTAGTACTGAAATGCCCCTTATTTCTATTTGGAGTAACTAGAACTGTAAATTTGCATCTACGTCTGGAATATTTGGTTTGTTAAAACTCAAGTATGATCCTCAGGAATTTTTCAACAATAAAATAGCAATTTATACAAACAGTCCTACACATGTGAAAAATATTAGGATAAAACATAAGCATTAACATTTTCGCTTCTTTTTTGTTAAAATTGAGTGATTTGTCAGTAAAAGCCAAATTGATACTTTTTTTAAATGTCTCAGCAATGCAAGCTTAGAGAGGCCTTAAGACTGGAATAACATCTAATAAAGCTATGTATTTACATTTATATTGCACACATTCTTATACAGTATTTCTTACAAGAACAGTCCTTACAATTCAATTTTTAAAACAGATATTTAATTGATCATTTATTTTCATACTCTAAAATAGTCACCCCTTTTGTCAATGGCAATGTGACTGGAGCAATACTCATATTCTCTTGCTCAATAATTCTAAAATTAGTTGATCATTGTAAAACACAGTGCAGTGGCTAAAGAGTGCAAAAAAACAAAGTAGAGCCCTACTTAATGACCTGTTTAATGAGACTGAAAACTAATTTTAGTCTGATAATTCTAATGGTTTCCAGTAATTCTACAAGCAAACTGATAATTACGTGGTAATGTCTCATTTCAGCAAAACAGACAAAAGGCTTGCTGATCTCCATCATTGAAGACAAAAATAGTCAAATGTTCAACCATGTGAAAATACTAAACATATAGAATTCAGAGACAAATTACACTCAGCATTTCATCTTATGCAAATGATTCTGGTGCATAAGAGATTCTGGCAGGCTACAAAAGGCACCAGATCAATGTCATGACTAAGGAAGAAAAGTAATGAGTTTTCAAAACAAGACCACCTACTGTGTCCAGTTTTCTGTGTTGTAATGTGAAACAAACTCACACACAAATGACTTGCGGGTATATATATTCCGTATTCCGTTTATCTTCCAGGCTGCTCTTCTGCTGTTCATTGTGAAATCCAGATGTTTTTAGTTTCAGTCCTGGTACTGTACAATATATAGAATGTCAGGAGAACTAGGGAATGAATTCCAGTCCAAAATCTCTTCCATAGTGTTCTCCAATAATGTTTTTACTGTTTCAGATACTACATAATATTTTTTTACGCCACATTAGAATAGAGTGGCAACAATTGGTGGATTAAGTAAGTTTCATTTATCTTCCCTTATATATGTAAATTGTAATTTCAGAAAGTAAAAACAGTTAAAAGGCCACTCATTCATGATTTATCTCAATAATGCATTTAGACAGCCAGAAATAATGGAAGTTGCATATATTGGGATCTAATGATTCTTATAGGAGTAGACTATCACTGTAGTTACAATGAAAATAACAAAGGTCCCTTGATAGTCAGGTCACACACTACATGAATCTATGTGCTAGTTTTCTACATAGTCGCGTACAGTATGTCTAACACCTAACACAAATACCTGAGCAGCAGTGTTGAACCAGAAAGGCCAATTATGATGACCTGGATTGTTTAAATTCACACACCCATATTCTTTATATGATGTAAAAACACAAAAATGGTTTATAACATTATAAAACATTATTTTTTACATTGTTTAGGCAATCCAGATTAAAACACAAAAAGCATGATGATTTTGTTAATGAAAAAATTGATATTTTTAAATTTACCCCAAAAATGTACTGAGTAAATGAGTTCTGCTTTACATTGCTTTATTAGTCCTGCTCTGTTTCAAAGCTCACTGCGGTCCTTTTAAACACAACATGTGTTTTTTATTTAGGAATATTCACATTGTATTGGATTTATGCACCATTTAGATGGACGTGCTTGAAATGTTGTAATATTAAAAAGCATTCTTTTAATCATGCTATATCAGTCCAATAAACAATGCATTCACAATCAAAATCTTGGCTTGGGGAGACACTCGCTCAGCCACCGCAACTTTTAGTGTTCATGTACTGTAACACTCCAAAGGCAATCAATATGATCAATTACAAAATAAAGTAATTGACAGAAGATCTTCTTTGAAAGCAAGTTAAGTTGCAGATTTGTATTATGAATCGGATGGCATTTAATATAGAACTCGGATATTCTTAAGAATAATTTAAGAAAAGTGCTAATGATAAAACAGTGACTGGAACATCAACTTACAGTAGAATAATGGCACCAGAACAAACAATGTACACTAGGACAGACAAACAATGGGCTCTTTTCAACAAAACAAACTGAATTCAATTGCCCTCCTGAGATGAATAAAGTATTTTGAACTGAATTGAACTGAAATAATTTCTTGAAACTGACAACCATAAAGTCCACGTGCCAGTCTTATGTCCCCTTTGGTCAAAAGCTGAAATGTATTCAGAATAGGGATAAATGTTTACATTGCATTGAGAAAGTGAGCTGCGCAATAAAGAAGTGCATGGAACAGTAAGGGTATGTGCTTGTCAGAATTGCATAATGTTACTGATGATAAGATCATCTTACCTCTCCTGACACTTGGCTATCCTTTGAATGATTTTTTTATGTTGGTGACTTTATACTGGATTGATGAGTTCTGCTTTCGGATTCAAAAATGTGGATAAAAGAACAAAAATAAATCTCTTCCTTGGAGAAACCTACAGTATATATACAGTATATAAGTGCAGTTAACAAAAATATATATTTGCAGGTACAAATTGGGAAAGGCCACCTATGAACAGGACATGTTTGATGTTTATCATATATCAATGATAATGTTTATCCTGCTGTATATTTTCTAGGCCACTCATTCTCAGTCCTAGCCTTGAAGGACCCCTGTGTCTACTGTTTTTTTGTTCCAACTATCTCTTAAACACCACTGCTTATTTCTTCCCCATTCATGCTTTCTTTTCTGAACTGAGGCCTCTAATTCAACATACCCTAGTACACTAGTTCTTGACCATGGTCCCATTGAGCTCATAATGACAGGTTAATTTATTTCAAATTTCTGTTTGAAGTCCTTTATTATTTTATTTCATTTCTTATTATGTGAAGAGACTTGTAATCCATACGAACCCCGTGTTAATTAGTTTCAAGACTGCCATGATTCAGGTGTGCTAGCTGAAATATAATCAGTCAGACCAAAAGCAGAAGGAAAAACACTGACTCAAAATCGGAGTTACAGTTTGTGATAAAATATAATTCCCACTTATGTATGACCAAGTTAATAAAATTCTTTGCATGGAAAATGTTGTAAATCATGAAATTTAACTTCAACTAGGGTAGTTCTGAAACAGAAAAGTTAAATCAACAAGTAGATCAGTTACAAGCATCGGTTAGCACAGGTAAATAAGGGCAGGCAAAATAAGTATACTTGAGAACTAGGATTGAGAACCACACTGTTCTAGACTATGTCTGAAAGCAATTACCAAATATAAAGTGTTTATAGTGAAAGGCTTAGAGCTGAAATCGAGAATGTTCAAATTATAGTAGTATATAGTTGTAAGACAGTGTTAAAATATTGTGTCCAGTTTTCTAGGCAATTTACTGGACTTAAAAGAACATCCTTCACTAACTAAAAGAACTGAACTTGTGAAATCTTAATCTTAACAAGTCTTAAAGCATTGTAAGTCTTAAAAGTGTACCTTTTTAATATAAATATAAATGAATGAAAAGTGTACCAATGACCAAATTATGCTTGTGAACCCAATACCCTAACAACTTCCAGGAAATGATTGGATGAGACCCATGTCAGATATTAAGTCTTAAATCTCTTTAGTGCACACCTGCACGTTGGACCACCAACTTCTTCCATCTTTGTCTCTCGACTGTTATAGTCTCCAGTTCCTTTCCTTCTACTTCAGCCCTTTCTAAATCACTGGAGATTGTCCCCTGCTTTGCTGTTCTGGATTTTGCATTTTGGTACCTGCATTTTCTGGCTTCCATCTGATGGCCCTATTTGACAAATAGTCTTTATCCATTCAGTTAACTAGCTAAAAGCTACTAAAAGAGCTAGATGGAGTGAATGGCCTTGGTTTCTAACTTGTTTTATTTGTGTCCATTTATGCATTTGTACATCCATCTAAGACACAATTTATGGAAACCCAGATTATGACATGCACTGCACCATTTAGACACTTGTACAGTGGCAATTATATCATCTGACGAAAAACATAGGCTCTCAAACAGCAGTCTGTGGGTTTCTGGCCAAATTGCACACGTTTGCCCATTTTTTCAAAATGGATCACAATATTTTTACATATTTTTAAGCAATACAAAATGTGCACCATATTGCAAAGTCATGATATTTTGAGAATCACCGAGTTCAAATAACACAAAAATGATGCTATCTTGCAATCTTCACAACACAGCTACTGGCACAAAAAGAGAAGTCAGGTTAACAGATTGCCCACACTTGCTGCTTCAGTATGTCATGACAGAATGGTATTACTTCTACTGTTTGCATTGTTGCAGTAAAACAAAGAGGAAAGGTTAGAGGTGTAACTGAAAGCATTCATTTGGTAAATGTTTTAATAGCTATGCAAATGAGGGACAGATTTAACAAGTCAATGCACAAGAAAGTTGCTCTGTTTTTAGCCTAATTTAAAATGTTTTTCCCTTTTCTGAGTACTTAAGTTTTTGTGTACGTTTTACGTATTGCCTATTTCCCGCTGATTTCAACAATAAGGTCAATTTGTTATAGTTTTAGAATGCTAATCTATTAATAATCATTTGGTTTAATGTATTAAAACATTTCCAGTGTAATTAAATAGTTTGAAATTGCTTGCATTTGTTTGCATTGAAGGTTTTCGGTACTTTTTAACATCCGCAGTTTTTTTTTTCTTCCTGCACATTTTTATTCAGTCGTTTTTATCAAGAAATACTACCACAAACACGCAGTACAATGCTTACCTTATCAATCAATAGTTTATCACTCCAACAATTGCAGTTTAGGAAACGCTCTTTATCAGCTTTTCTTTTTTTCTCCCATCCCGCACTTAGATGAACTCAGATGCAGCGATGGTTTAGTTCCTGAAACTTTCTAGTTTCCCTGGAAACCGAGGAGGAGCATGAACTCTCACCTCTGACTGCATCAAACAGAAATCAACATGGAGAACTAGGAAGTCACCACTGGTTTGTGCGGATCACATTGCACAATGACCTGAAATGATTTATACTGAGGATGCCAAACAACAAGACGTAATAATTGCGTACAGCTGTGTTACGATAACCGGACAATATGTTTAGATCTGTGGAAAAATGATTTGGAGGTAACAGGATCGGGGTTGTTTTATTTTTTGTCGGTGCAAAATCTGGATGGCAAGTGTATTAATTATACATGTCTTACTAAAAGATGAATGTGATTTATTTTATGTGTGATTTCGCTGTCAGAGTGTAAGGATGTCGTTAAAACATTTACTCCAAGCATTTGTTTATATCTACATTTAATTATAGATTTATTCTTCGTTTTAAATGTCATCCCAAACCAGAATATACTTAGAAAAGCACGGATTTCTGAGATAATCTTGTGATTGGGCCAGATGTGAAATATACTGTCGACTGCTGGAGAAACAGTTTTCCAACTTTTTTTTTATGTTAGGAGTATAGCCTAGATCTGTTACGTGAGAGTGCTTAATAAGAAATGACACTGTACACACTGGCATTTTGAAAGTTAGAGCCTAGTTATATCTGATTCACGTTCCAATGGCTTCGTACAGCTGTTGAGTATGGATTATGTAATCTTTTATCGATATGCATTGTAACGAACCATTTATAATGTTTTAATTTTGTTTTTTACCTTTTTGTGCCATCATTATCAAGCAGTTGACTCTTAAATAAAATTAAATAGATTTTTTTTAAAAAATTGAACAATGTCACTCGCAGAACAGTCCCAAAAGTGGTTTCCAACCCATGTACAAGCCACTGTACTACTAGCCAAAGACTTAATACCCAAAGGTAAAAATGGCTCCAATGATGCTTACACCATCATCCAGCTGGGCAAAGAGAAGTACTCTACATCTGTGGCTGAGAAGACTCTTAATCCAGTATGGAAAGAAGAAGCTTCCTTTGAGCTCCCTGGTTTGCTTCTTGAAGGCAACCCAGAAATCTATGAGCTGCACCTCATAGTAATGCATAGGTCTCTTGTGGGGATGGATAAATTCTTGGGACAGAAGGCCATCAACCTCAATGAAATCTTTGATAACAAGGAACGAAGAAAAACTGAGTAAGTGCTGCCACTACTTTGTACACAAGCATTTGTTTTGTTTTTTTCTCCGAAATGAAATACAGGTGCACAACTTAATTGAGGACAACCTGATTTCCAGAGAATGGTACTGTATGTATGGTAGGTGACAAGAATAAATTAAAATGTTGTCTTTGAAACCCATCCAACCATCCAGCCAAGTTCTTTAAGCTTTGAGACAGACAGGAGGCTTATGGAAATACAGTTTCATGAAAAATCGAATAAGTACAGTACAAGTTAATGAAAATAAATTTTCATTCATCGAATTGTCTATGTATTGGTATTTGATTTTCATTTATTTCACTGTGTGAGTGTCTAAGCAGATTGTAAGTGTGTTTTATATTGATCCGGGAGATGTGTTTGCAGTTGTCAAAAGCACAATTATTAATTCTCAAGCTTCTCTTTCAGGCATAAATTCCATTAGTAGTTCATTCTGTACTCTTGAGTCAAAAGCCAGGTGAATCTTTATTTGGTTTATTAGTCTTTACTCTTAACATTTTATTTCTGAATTTAGTGCCATAGTTGTAGGGACTGCCTTAATATGCGCAGCAGTTTTAGCCCCACAATGTTTGTGTACTCAGTGTTTGTACTATAGCTAAGTGAAGTGAAGGTTATTCTTCTTCCTGTGTGGGGGAGGAGGGCTTTCACCTTGCTTGCAGGAGAACTGTCTGTTGGGACCTCTCATTCCAGGAACTGCAGACTCGCCTGCTTCAGATCACCCAATTAGAATTTTGAGTGGTGATCTAAGAAAGCATGACCCGATTTCATATCAGCTACTCCCCTGCTTGAATTTACTGTGAGAAATTTGACCTCCACTTCAGCAGTGCTCATTTTCAAGTAACCTTGTTACGTCTCATGCAGTGTGATCCCCTGATTCAGAATCTCTGCTTACTATTTCTTACTGTAATGCATTCAGTTTCGTATTGTCCATTGCTGTTTACTGTAAGTAAACTTTTGCTTTAACAAAACTTTTTTTTATCCCCTTAAGATTATTTGAAGGAGAAGAGTGCTCTCTCTGATATAGGCATAAACTGGTATTGCATTAGTATTCCACAATAACATCTCTTTGCAATTTCAGTTGTGAATCCTCTATCAGTTGTGAAGACAAGTGTAACTAACTGTATTCAAGAATGCAAACAGATTTATAAAATCCACTGGTACAATGTTAATTTCACACCAGCAAACAACCTCTCTACAAACTAAAAAATAAAATTTTGCCCTTAGATTTTTGTGTAAGCAACTAAACTATTATTTAAGGTCAACACACTATTAAACAGCTCCCTTAGAAGAATCATGTAACAGACCTCCACTGATGTTCACTAATACATTTCCATCTGCTGGTGGTTTTACTAACCACTTTATAATGATCACATTGTGTGCAATCACAAGACTGAGTTTATCCAATTTTCATTCAGTATTAATATTCTGAGAATAAATATGATGGTGCCTCTAGTATTCACTTTTTTAAACTAAAGCTTTATTTACCATGGGTTTAACTCAATAAAATAGAAAGTTGATTCTCGGATTAAATGGCTGATGTGTGGTGGGCGTTCTGGCGCACTATGGCTGCCGTCACATCATCCAGGTGGATGCTGCACATTGGTGGTGGTGGTGGTGGAGGAGGGGAGTCCCCATTACCTGCAAAGCGCTTTGAGTGGAGTGTCCAGAAAAGCCCTATATAAGTATAAGCAATTATTATTAATTATTATAAATAGTTTAGGGTTCCTTTGGAACAGTTGAACAGTTCAATTTCCACTGAATGGTCCTCAAGGATCAGCGCTTCTTTAACTGAATAATGTATTTATTAAATTGGTCAACCACTTAGAACTGTTGCTATTTTTTTAAAAAAGCTCAGTGTGACCTATGTGATACAAACTGGTTTGGAGCTTTCCTGGACCAGGGAGTTGAGATTATTAATCTAAACTAACAAAGCCTTGCAGATAAGAGAAGAATTTGAAACGTGTATGAGGAAAGACATGCAATACTGTAAATTTAGAAGGAACTATTAATCCAATTTGTACAGTCTCCACTTTTTTATAGTGTGTCACCGCTAAAGCAGCAACACCAGCAATTGTGTCTATGCCTCATTTCTAAACTTGCTGAGTCTTCCTGAAAGGCTAACAGTTTCCTCATTGTGTAGTCAGGATTTAAATTGCTTTAATGTCATGATCAATAGATGGTTTAAATTATCCTTATTCTGTAGGCATCACAGTAACATTCCATACTGTGGGAGTTTATATTTTTAAAACTTGCTTCTTTGCAGCACAAATCAATAATTCTATAATAATAATTCCTTACACTTATATAGCGCTTTTCTGGACACTCCACCATAGCTTACAGGTAATGGGGACTCCCCTCCACCACCACCAAAGTGTGGCCCCTCCTGGAGGATGCAATGGCAGCCATAGTGCGCCAGTACACTCACCACACATCAGCTTTCAGTGGGGAGGAGATCAGAGTGATGAAGCCAATTCATAGATGGGGATTATTAGGAGGCCATGATTGGTAAAGTCCAATGGGAAATTTGGCCAGGACACTGGGGTTACAGCCCTATTCTTTGCGAGAAATTACCACAGAGAGTCAGGACCTCGAAGGATGGCGCCTACGGGTCACTATTCTGGGGAATTAGGACCCACACAGACCATAGGGTGAGCAACCCCTACTGGTCCCACTAACACCTCTTCCAGCAGCAACCTAAGCTTTCCCAGGAGGTCTCCCATTCAGGTACTGGCCAGCCTCACACTGGTGGATCTGACCAAACCTTCACTGTAATAAATTCATTATTTTTTAAATTAAACAAACAGAACCACATGTATATTTGACTAAATCCACCAAAATGAATGATGAGATTAACTGTAAAAAGTAGTTTTGAAAAGTAGCTGTGGTTATACAGTACACCTAAAATAATAGAAGACATATTTCTAAATTCATACCATTTAAATTCAGCAGCTTCCTGTATTGTTCTAGTTGGACCAGTTTTCCCACTTATAGGCTACACCCAGATGAAAAGCTGTTAGCCAAGTCCTTGAAAAAGCAATGTTTTATTCACCTTAACTAGATCTACAGCATCTTCAAGTAGATTCATATTTTGAAAAAAATGGCACTACAAGGTCCAGGTCTTTGTCTTTGTATGTAAAGTACAAAGGTTCTGATTTGTTTATTAATGGAGAATCTGTCACAGCTTTGTCAGTAGGCTCTATTGCCATTGATTTTCAAGGGTTATATTTAGAAGAAAGATGTGCCGGCAGAAATGCACAGTATGAGGAAGCTTTCATGCCATGAGTGTATTTGTTCATGCCTTTGGTCATTACTTTTGTCCCCGAAGTGCCTTAGGAGCTTAATTTAAACTGTATTGTAAATTGTTAAGGCATAATAATGGTTTGTTCAGAAGAAGGAGTTTGCCTGTTGATACTTTAAATTGTGCTATGTTGCAGCTCTTGATCACAATGAGCACTACACTATCTTCACCTCTCAACCTGTACTGTGTGCTTTTGTTTGTTGTGGTTTTGAGTATTGAAACGAATGAGCAAAGTTCATTTTAAAAGGGAAATGGAGTTATTTCATAGCATGGGCGCTAAAGTAAGACACAAGAGGACAATCTGGTATGAATGGCTGCTTCTCCATCTAGATGTTCAAGAGCCACAGCTCTTTGGTCAAATGAAAGAGTTTTGCCAATTGATATCAAAAAATGAAAAAAGAAATCATTTTGTAGAATACAGTTGTACTGTATTGTGTACTTTTTTTCTGACTGGCCAATGGATGTCTGTAGTGTTCTGCTTAAAGGGAGGCAGTCTGATTTGAACTGTGATTGCTGGTATGCTTTACTTCATATCCAAAAATCCAACATTATCTTCCAAGTGAATAAACCTAAGTTTGATGTGCATAATTCGTAGGTGTACCTATGTGTACTTCATGCAGATACAACAGTGATCAAATCTGTGGAGAGCTTTCTTAGCAAGTATCAGTGATAATTTACTGTGTGGGTTAAACTTTAGCTCAGGTCTCTCCTATAACTGTATAGAAACAGTGTATTAGCATATTATTAGTGTTGTTATAAACATAATTATTTTAACCTTTTAATAACCTTTGTATTTTAATTTTCTATATTTTAAATACATTTAGGAGAACTCTTGCAGAGGATTAATAGAGGAGAGCATAAAATATGGAACACCTAGTTTAGAAGTAAAACTGTAAAGTTGACAGCATTCAAGAGCAATAATGTTCTTTTCCTTTACTGATACTTTTTCTTTAGAAAATGACAGTATAATTTCTACAATTCTACTATGGTTAACATGTACAGACCTGGCAAAAGAGCAATGCTATTGTACCTTTGTGAATGTAGAGAATGTTTAAAAACAAACCACGCCTAATGCTGCAATTAAATGGTCTTAAGAGTGGTGATGCACAGTTGAAAGTGCTTTAAAATCATTGAGGGACACCCTTTTTTTCAGTTTAAGATGGATCACAAATCCAATTTAGTATACTACTGTATTTCCAACGAAAATTCTGATGAAACATAAATGAAGCTGATGAACCTAGCTAAGAGAGTAGACAGTAGATAGTAGAGGAACAAGTAATAGGTTTATTCCATGCTGAAAAAAAGGAGAGAGAAAACGCAACATTTCGGCCGTGGAGCCTTCTTCAGGTGTGCTAGGTGTCCTTCTTCAGGTGTGCACACCTGAAGAAGGCTCCATGACCGAAACGTTGAGTTTTCTCTCTCCTTTTTTTCAGCATGGAATAAACCTATTACTTTTTCCTTTGCAGCCTACGCATGGTGACGCAGCTACCCACCTGAACTAGTAGATAGTAGATATCTATCATTGGCTTGTATTGTGCTACCGTTGGACTAATTGGACTAGTTGTTTGCTTTCAAACAGCTAAAAGAACAATGTGTAGGAAATAGTAGGACTCATACTGTGGAAATTAATTGTTAGTACAGATCAGAAAAGGTGTCTTAGGAGCACTACAACCTGAGCTGAGCT